TATTCATTTAAATTTAAGTAACCCCATGTAACTAGTGGCTAGCCTATTGGACAGAGCAACTTTAGAGCTAGTCTACTGAGTTCCTATGTTTAATCCAAGAGTTATACTTTAGTCATAGTTCATTCAAAAGGCAATGACACCATTTGAAATCAAAGAATGATCCATCCCTGTGAAGCCTAAGCTATTAGGTTACCAACTCCTCCCACTTCTGGAATATTTAATGGAACTTACAGGCACAGGAAAGAGGATTTGTGAAAATTAGTTTTTATCCATAAAGGCCATATTAGTATTTTAATCACACATAAAATCATACATGTTGGGGGTAGAAGGAAGATTCTTTCATACTTGTGCACAGTGTATCTTGTCTTGAGGATACGGAGAAAAGTAGATTACCTTTCTCCCCAGAGGCCTGCCCAGAGCGGTCACTGAGAGTCTTCTCCACTCTATAATTCTAACAGATCCAGCCCAGTCCTGAGATATCTCAGCGCTGAGGGGATCTTAAGAGATCTATTAACTGATTATAAAAGGCATTTTCCATATGTTCAAGTTTCCTACTTCCAAGCAACCTCTACTGTAAAGTTGGGTTGGCAGATGGGAACAAAATACAAAGGCTTTTCTGCACTGCCTCCTGAGATGAGGCCTAGAGAGTTCCAGCCAGGTCATCCTTGCCTCAAAAAGCTCTACATCCTACAGATTTTCAGAGAAGTGGGAGATTTTGTTGCCCTGTCCCAAAGTGATATAGGCTGGAATTTCCCATGTGGTACAACTTAGAATACAGCTCCCAAAGCCCTTCACACCTAGTTCATTGTTTTATAGGTAATTGTTTACATATCTGCCTCCTAGCTAGACTTTTCATCCATTTATTTATCCAGTAAGCACTGGTTGTCTACTCTGTGCCCCATCCTGTTTTAGGTGCTGGCAGCAGAGCAGAGAACAATACAAACAAGGCGCCCGTGGACCTGTGACTCTGGTGGAGGGAAACTGATAATAAATGAGTAAACTAATATGTGTGGTAATTTCAGATAGTGATAAGTGCTATGAAGAAAATAATGTGATAGAGTAGACTAGGGGTCCTCTTTTAGACCCTGTGAAAAGGCTTTAGAAGAGGGGAGGTCGGAGCCGAGCTTTGAATACAAAGTTGCCAGCTCTGCAAAGGAACAAACAGCCTACGGTGGCAGCAGATAGAAAGCCTAAGTTTACCACTAGAGTGGGCTATTTTAAAAAATAATAATAATAACTTTTTAAAAAATTGATCTTAGAAGGGACAGAGAGAAACATAGATATGAGAAACATCGTAGATGGGTTGCCTCCCACATACGTACCCACTGGAGATCGAACCTGCAACCGAGGTATGTGCCCTGACAAGGAATCAAACCAGCCACTTTTGGTGCACAGGACAGTGCTCCAACCAACTGAGCCACACTGGCCAGGGCTATTATTTTGCTTTTGATAATGGTATTCTTGGTGCCTAAAATAATGCTTGGCTTTGAATAGGTATGTATATAATAATAAGAACAATAATACAATAAGTAACATTAAGAGACAGTAAATAACTTACCCAAGAGCATGTAGTGGATAAGTGGCAAAACCAAGATTGACCTTAACCCAGGCTTCTGACCCCAGAAACTAATAATTAACCAATGTTGTATTGAACTCCAACATCTGGAATGCTTCCTAAAAATTCAGCTTTTTAGTATCAAGCTCAACCAACTGAATTAGAATCTCAGAGGGTAGGAAACCCAAATTTTTACCAAGCCCTCCAGATGATTCTTAGACACACTGAAGTTTAGGACCACTCTGCTTTGATGAAGGGATGAATGAATGAGACAGGTCCTCTGCTATTTGTACTACTTTGCCCCGCATATTGCAAATTTCTAGACCCCTCAGCTCTATAAATGCCCATTCTCTTAAAATTTAAGCCCTTACAATGATAATCAGATCATTTTAAAACTGAGTTGCAAGAAAGAAGAAATCTCTGTCTCCCGAGTCCTGCAGGATGGCTACAAACACCTTGATAAACCCCTCAGGACTAGCATTCTTCCACCCTCCCTCCATCAACCCCAAGTCTAGTTTTAACCTAACCAAGGGATGGCCTAGAGTCAGACAGCTCCAGGAGCATCAGGCCCTGTTTACCAGTTCAGATGAGGTCTGGAGACAGCCTCAAGATTTGGCTCCTCTAACGAGCAAGCCTGAGGTACACTCAGGACCTCCGATCTAGGCTACCACCCTGTCCTCCAAACCCCCACACCCTATTCCAGCTGCCTAAAGCAGACCCAGCCTTGTAAATTAGTCCGACTCCCCCTCCTGAAGGGGGTGAAGGAAAGCCAGGGATCTTCCAAACTGTGGGAGACCTGGGATTGAGCCACATCTTCCTGGAAACCAGGCTGGGGAATCTCCAGAGCAAAGGAATTGCATCTTGACATATGTCGCTTAGGTTTAGGGTTGCCAGGTAAAATACAGGATGCCCAGTGATGCCCCCAAATATCACACGGGACATCTTCGTTCTATTAAAAGTACTTGTTTGTCTGAAATTCAGTTTTAACTAGGCATCCTGTTTTTCAGTTTGGTTTCCTAAAGAAACGAAACCTGACAATCTACTTAGGGCCAGGCCCTTTGCAGGAGCATGGAGCCAGGGGGGTGGTCTCCCCAAGCATCCTGAGCGTCTCATTCGGACGAACGCCGGGGCAGGAGGCGCTGTGTCACAGGGAAGCCCAAAAAGTGTGCGCGATCCTGCAGGGTGGGTTCTGTCACTTTTTTATTATGAGAGAACGGAGGCTGGTGGAGCTCCCGCGGGGGACTCGGGCGTCTGAGTACTTGCCGCTCACCTCCCTCTCCGTCTCCCAAACGTGAGCCCAGAGTTGGGGTCCAGCTCCGCCGGAGCGCGAGGCCCCCCCGCCCGCCGCCGCTCCAGACCCCAAGCCTCGGGGTTCGGGGCCCCGCCTCCCGGTCCCGCGCTGGCCACGCCCCACTTGGTTATCCGACCCTTTTCTGGGTCAGCTGGTGCTGGCGTCAGGAGGAGGGACGGGCCGGCTCGGCTCGACCCGGCAGGGCTTGTTTACTATGGCCGATGATCTGGAGCAGCAGTGAGTTAATCCTGTCTCTTTCTCTTTCTCTGTCTCTCTCCGGGCCGCGATCCCGGGACTGTCTGTGGCTGAGGAGCACTTTAGACACCTTCCCGCCTTTCCCGTCTCAGGTCGGCCTCCGGGGGGCGGGGGCCGCGCCGGCTGCTGCGCTTTTGCCCGCGCGAGGCGGCGGCGGGGCTTGGGGCGCGGTGGGAAT